ATGGTAGATACAGGAGCCTGCATCTCCATTGTACCTATGGCAATTGCGGAGAAACTAAATCTGAAAATTTACAAGTGTAATGACCACGTACAGGGCATTTCACTTGCTACGGGAATCGCGGACGTTAACCCGATTGAACCACAATGCACAGTGTTTTACGTGTGCATATTCGGTAAATGGTACGAACATGCAGCCTTTGTATCTACCGGAAGTAGAAAGGACAATATCATATTGGGAACGGACTTTTGGGTCTTTAAACCATTTTACTTCGATTTTGAAACAATGAATATTGTTTCTAAGGGAGGAGTTGATACAAGGTCATCTATGTTCGTAGTACGGAGGTCTCCGTACTTCGGTGAATGTCTGAAGGCAGTAGAGCTAACTGACAATCGCTCGGAGGAGTCAATCCCGGCAATGCTCGAGATTGCAGCATATGGCACGGTACGTGTCATTGCAGACGGGAAGAATCTCAATAAAACGGATGTCACATATCAGGAATATCAAAACTAATTGTATAGTCTTGAGACAGAAAGTACTGAGGAAGTACAACCTGGTATGCATAATGTGGCTAAAATAACACAAAAACAGAAAGTGCAACCAAAAATTGCAGTGCTTAAACGCAAGGCATTTGATGCAGTTGCCACCGGAAGTACCCAAGCGATGGTACCATCGCTTGTTGGTGGGGATGAGGAACCCCCCAAAAGCACTATAACGTATAGGAATAAGAACATTCGTAAGCAACCAGAAAATTTGGATTATGAGTCATACGACTACTGGCGCAAACAGCAGCGCGCAGAACCAGATACACAAAACGGGATATATCTATATGGAAACCCGCATGTCGATATGACATCGGCTGAACGTGATGAGATTCATGCGTTCTCTAAATGGAAAGGTGTTCTCCAGCGAAAGCGCACTGGTCCGAACACGAAGAATCGCTATGTGGTACCACAACAGCGTACTGAAGCACTAATGTGGCATTACCACCAAAAGTATCACGACAGTGATACGCCACAAAAGATTTCCTTTAGAGGAACGGTACTGGAAAGATTCTACTGGCCTGGTATGAATGAGTCTCTCGTCAGAATTGAACAGAAATGTAAATTCTGTCAGAATTACATGCGCAAACTGGATGCTCCCGTTGCGGAAGCAGTCCTGTCAGAGAACGTCATATATGACCAGTTGCCCAGGCAACAGCCTGTCCAGGCGGTTGTGCACCAAACACTGGATTCACAGACGGGAGGCGGTAACCAGACTAAAACGATAACTAATCTCGAATGGGAATCGCTAAGAAAACATGGTTTAGACAATAATTTGGAAGAACAAATTATTGATAAGAAAGATAACCAGTTGTCTACAGAAGAGTTGAGTACTCAACCTTCCCAGTCGCCTAAGGTAACAACTGTCGAGATGCGACGTATTGAAGTGTATCCCAAAAAATCTATCCGTATGAACCCCTTTGAGTCAAGATGGGTTCCAGCGGAAGTCAGGGATTTCCGTAAGCTGGATAAACAAAACACCGAAAGTCTGCAAGAGCTTGCAATGTTTTTCGTTAATACACCGGATGACAATAATCATGTCATCCCAGAGGCTGGACTCGTACGAGTTAAGCATAATGGGAAGTTGAAAGTTTGTGTGACAAACTTGTCATTCGAGCCTTACGTTCTTGATAACCAACGTTCGGTTGGTGAAGTAGAAGCATACGAGGCTGTTACAGGGTTCGTAACTACGGAACCATTCAAGACTGATGGCACCGGAAGTGACTCATCAGACCAGGTTGAAGTACATAATACTGAGACTGTGCAGGCTACAGTCACAGAAGAACAAGAAGGCTTAATACAGAAAGTCAAAGTGGGTTCGGCCGCAAATGATCGTGAGCGCGATTATCTGATGAACCTACTCAGGGAACATGCGGTGGTCATTCCCAGCAAGGAAAGACCGATCGGATGCTGTAAACTGTACGAGCACCCGATCAATACTGGTACGCACGCACCAGTACGAGTGCCCCCGTATCGTACAAGTTATGCAGATAAAAAGTATCTGAGACAAAAAACGGCAGAAATGCAAGCAGATGGAATCATCGAACCTACGACTAGTGCGTGGGGATTCCCTATCTGTTTAGTACCTAAAAAATTCACCACAGAAAAAAGACTCACGGTCGATTTTCGCAAACTGAACAATTGTTTAGAAGGTTCTAGTTACCCGATGCCGCGGATCGACGACATCCTGAACCAGATAGGATCGGCTAAATATTTTTCAAAAATTGATTTAAAATCCGGATTTTGGCAAATCCGTTTGGCTGAGACTGACAAGCATAAAGCTACGATGATAGGAGAGGAATTCTCCTATCAGTTCAAAGTCCTACCTTTTGGTATTAAGGACGGACCGACGGCATTCCAACGTGCCATGGACATGTCACTTGGAAACCTCAAAGGGAAAAACGCCCTAGTTTTTGTGGATGACATAATATGTTATTCTGAAACAAAAGAGCAGCACCGAAAAGATATTGATGAAATCCTAGCTAGGCTTGGGGAAGCTGGTTGGACAATCAACTTAGAGAAGTGCGAGTTTTTTATGGAACAGCTTACCTTTCTTGGTCACGTGGTGGATGCGCAAGGCATCCACACAGACAAGGAGAAGGTACAAGCCGTAAAGAACTTTGGCCCATTTAGGAACGTAAAGGATGTCCAAAGGTTCCTGGGTATGGCTGGTTTTTACCGTCGTTTCATACAAAGTTATGCAACCCGTACAGAGCCTCTAACAAGGCTGCTGCGTAATGATGTCCAATGGAATTGGACAGATGAACAAGAGCAGTCAGTAGCGGACATAAAGGAAGCATTGTGCAATGCTCCCATTTTGGCCCGCTACGATCCTGAAGCACCAACCAGACTCTACATTGATGCCTCCAAAGTAGCAGTCGGTGCTGTCCTTAAACAACAGTTTGGGGAAGACTGGAAACCTATCGAGTACTTGAGTATACAACTCAATCGTACGCAAAAGCTGAACTACTTCCCTACGGAACTAGAGTGTTTCGCCCTAGTTACGGCACTCAAGAAGTGGCGTCACTACTTGTCGGGACGTCATTTCGACGTGTATACTGATCACTCAGCGTTACAGTACCTCAAATCTATGAAGGACGTAGGTGGTCGTCTGGGCCGATGGGCGATATTATCCCAGGAATATGATATGACTAATCATCATATCAAAGGGAAAGATAACGTTGAAGCGGACGCACTGTCGCGTAACGAAGGGATTCAGCCGAACGAACCCAGCTCGGCAGAATCCTGCGACATTCAAGATTACCTGCCGAACTGAACGTTCATCAGTCTCGTGATACTTAATAAATAAAGTTGCAGATAAAGTGATACTGTGGTGCCAAGTGAATTCCGCACTTTTTCGTACAGCATGCTAGACAAGCGCTGTATGGACGGCTTTAGCGTTCAGTGGGTTCACTGTTTACTGGCTTATGAACTGGATGAACACGCAATTTGAAATAATTCATATTCAGTAGTACGGGCAAGTACGACAAAGCAATTCGAACCAGCATTTAGATAAAACGTAATACAGTCATATGTTTTGTAAACATAAATTGTAAAAATATATTTTGGATTAGATTCAAGTCTATAAATCTTGATAGAGAACCGTTCTGCAGCAGGAACGATTTTTCAAGAGCGAGCAACGCTCGGCTCTTTGCTACTGGCAGCCTGACGCTGTTCAGCGCGATCAGCGAACGCTGAACCCCATATACAGCTCTAGTGTATCAGGCTTTACGAAATGGTGCGGAATTTACTTGGCACTACAGTACTTCCATATGCTTTGTACAAGCATATGACACTGATGAATCATGAATTGGAAGAAGGGGAAATCAAAGAGTACGATTTCTTCAAGCCTGAAGAAACGGAGTACTGGAAATCCGAGCAACAGAAAGATCCGCAGATAACAGCTTGGTTCGAGCTGTTACAAAACCCGAAACAGTTAATGTCTAACAGACAACGTAAGACATTAAAACATCTTACGGTACAAGATGGAATTCTGTACTTCCGAAGGAAGTATAATATTGGATTCATTCAGCAGTTCTACGTTCCAGAACAGTGGAGGAAGAGGCTGATTCATGAAAATCATGATGTGCCATACGCGGCGCATCTGGCAGCTGATGCTACGTACAAACGAATGCACCTGCATTTTTACTGGCCGCAGATGCGTGCAGCAGTAAATACTTATACGAAGACATGTGACGCCTGTCAAAGACGTAAACCCAGGCTAACCGCCCCGGGTGGTTATGAGCAAACCGTCCCTCTGGCAGAACCGCGTCATGTTTGGGCAATTGATGTGGACTCATCATTGCCAGAAACGAAAGGAAAAAATCATCACTTAATCGTTGCTCAGGACTACGGAAGTAAATTCGTAGTCGCCGAAGCAGTACATAAAAACGATAAATTCGCGGTTGCCGATTTTTTATATCGTCGCGTAATTTGCGTGTACGGATGCCCGCGGAAGTTGATCTCCGACAGGGGCACAAACTTCATGTCTGAAGTTTTCCAGGAAGTGGCCAACCTGATGGGGGTTGCACATGTGCCAACCACATCCCATCACCAGCAGGCGAATGGGATGGTGGAAAAAAGAATCGGTAAATTTAATAAAGCCATTTCAAAATATGTGTCCTGACATATTCTGGTGTACTTGTACTCACAAGTACAGCAGTATGACCAACCTTACTCAGGCAATAAAGATGGAATATGCTCTAGATGTACTATAATGGAAATAACATGGAAATATTAGCACTAATATTTCCTACTCACACGCGCGTACACACACTTTCAGGATCCTGCTAGGACGATGTTGTTGTCCCAGATTTAGTCGGATGATGTTACTTCCGACTCACACACACTGACTTCCGCTCAGATAACTATCCCTAGTTGTCTTTACGAAGGTCACCACAAAACACACGAATATCCGGATATCTCAACACAAGTTTATTAGGTCTTATTTCGCTAGCTCACACATCCATCGACTGATTCTGCCTCCAGAATCAGGTAAACTCAAGCGCGTTATAACATGGAATCTCTCATAGCAAATCACTTAACATAGGATCAACCGCACCGTCGTACAGACGCGTGCGAAAACTCATACATGCTAACCGAAAACAATACTTGTACCGTGCGTACATGCGCCATAGCATGTTATCCCCACCAACAAGGGTGCACGTCCGCGGGCACAAAACCCACAAACAACCAAAGGGAATGAATAACAGAAACATGTTATTCTTACAAACTAAAGGGAAATCCATTCCTCCACGCGATCACGTCCTTCTTATCCAATCCACGTTGTTACGCTTGATCCACTTTGTCCGTTTTCTCCACGTCCAATTCCACGATGTTGTCCAGGGCCAGGAGAGAGTTGCGCCATTCCGTCTCCGCACGAACAATACGTGCGTATTGTTCCGGGTTATTCTTCGCCTGCTGCTCCAGTTTCTTAATGGCTGCAGCAATTTCTTTACTGTAAGTAATCAGATTGGAAGGCTCTGGCAAATCCCACTCTGCAAGGATGTGAGCCGCATCCTTGTGCGCCTGCAGTGCCGTACGAGCACACGCCATCTGAACCAAGTTCAGTGCATGAGCCAATCGAGCTGGCTCTTGCAACGGGGTCGGCATATTCATCCACGATGAATAATCACGAATGACCGGTGCACTGGACTCCTGCGGGACAAACTTCTGAATCCCGAACTTCTCCGATAACGCCTCGGACAAATCCACAACCGCGTAGTGCATGCGCCAAAACCAGGGAAAGTCCTTCTCCACATTGGACAGCGCATTAACGGCCTTGCGCACACGTGAAAACATCAGGTCCTTCTCCTTTACGAATGACCGCTGCACGTCGTTCTGCACCACTGTATCCGCTCCAACACGCCATTCCGTTCCGGCACCATAAACATGGTTTATAGCCTGCTGAGCCACAAGCAGAGCGGACGGGCGCGGATGGAAGAAGGTCTGCTTTCCTGGTAATGGCACCAGTACTGGTGTCATTTCCGCTACCTCCATGTGGTCGACGACAAACTGCACTACCTCCAGCATAAAGGTGGCTGAAGAACGAATTTTCCCCATCGAAAAGCCTTTACCGTTTGGCAGCTTTCGCGCAATAATCAGGGCGTTCACTTCACAGCGCCACTTGTCCAGCTTGCCGTATCCATGCTGATCGGCATGTATCTCGTGGAACTGTGGGATCTCTGGTTGTGCCACCGCCAAGATATCGTCCGATGTCTTGAAGGTTCTGGTATCCGGGACCAACTCCAGAAACTGCACATGCTGCTGAAGAATCAGAAGCAGATCTTTCCACGCGCCACGCTCCAACAGCTGCGTGCACTCCTGCAGCACGTGTGCATCATCAGCCTGTTCCAGCATGATGTCTCGCATCAGACCCAGCACGCATGGGCGAGAAGTGTTCTGGTGGTCATATTCGCCCATCGAAGGCTTCATCAGCTCCTGCTTCACCGCTGACAATCCACCGCGGATCAGTGTAATCTGATCCATACGATCCAGCACGCGCACATTCTTAAACAGCGTCTTTGTGGTCAAGATGTTGTTAACCACTCGGACAGGCGCTGCAGTCTTCTGATGAGCAAGTCCGTGCTCATCGCGTTCCTTGACGGTCGGTGCAGTGAACTGCTTTTCTATCTCCTTGTTGAGGATCGCAAAACGACTGCGTGGCGCTGTGTTTGTACCAGACACTCCCACGAGGGTAACGTTCTTCGGCGGCTTCTGCAACATGCCGTTCAATATAAAATACAGCACTGTATTTTTAGAACAAAAAAAATGTATTTGCTTCCATATCCCTCAAAACACTGTACAGTGTTTTACTGACATCCGTAAAAACTTATCTGTTTGTAAGTTATTAACACTGGTAGTTCAATATTACCGTAACCACATTTACTGTAGTAATATTACCACAGGATTCGGCGTTGGATTCATCCCGCTTTCAGACGGTCCTATGCGACTGCGGCCTCGTCCCACTCCCGCTGAGCGCAGTTTCGCGTCCGACAAACGTTGGGACTGCAATCAACATGTGCATGTTGATTAACCAATACATCGGTATTCATGTAGTTTTCATGTCGATACTGGCACAACATAAACTCGTAAAAATACTGTCCAGTATTTTAGCGGCTTGTTATCAGTATAACGTTATCAAAACTGTAGTGTACTATCGCACTATTACAAACAGTTATTGTACAGTAACTGAGTAACACCATTTCCCAGTTTTACGGGTTCTTACCCGTTCACACTGCTCCTCGTACTCTTTACTCAGAGTACCCACGTCTGCAGCATCCGTACCGCTCTTCTAAAATCAACATGAACATGTTGATTCACATACTTCACGACTCTCGGTACAGTCAACAATATGCTCATATTGTTACTCTCAGTAGTGCGCAGTAAGTTCCTCAACTTACAGCTTCAGTTTGCAGTCCTTCTGCTTTCAGGATTCCTCTCCCCAGGACAGGCGTCATTGCTTCACACACTTTCAACTGCGGAGATTTTTGAGTGAGTTGATTCTGTCCAGAATCAACTTCTTCCACATCCAGATCCATGCATCCGTGCATGTAGTTCCAGAAGAGTTGGTCGGACTCTTCTTCGGACTCCGTACTCCGTGTACGCTGCATCTCGATAGTACTCACGAGCAGTACAAACAACAAAACTGATAAAACTGAGCAGTTTTATTTTCGAATAGAGAACCGGTTCGCGAAAGCACGAGAAAACTTAAAAGGTGCAGATCTGCACTTTTCTAGCTTTTCACACCGCACTGCACTGACAAATGAGGTTCTGAACTTTTTCGCTCAAGGGCCGTGTGCATCAACACACTACCATGTGCTCGGTGACGTCACCGACACCGTAAGTAGTATAGGCTGCACTTCCGCCGACTACTTCGCTTCCGGTAGTACTAATACTCGTACTAAATTTTTAATATACAATAATCGTGTAATTTAGTTTGCATTTCTCGATGCATACTTCTTTTTGAATGAAATATGAAATTTCTTTTTCTTCTCTCACTTCTTATCCGCTGATTAACCATCAGCTTTTCGTATGTGTGCTACAGTTTCTTCTGTACTTTCTCAAGACACAGTCATTTCCACACCACCGCATGACTTTTAATGAACTTTCCAAGCAAAGTCAGTTACACATCGTCAGGACAAATGAAATGATGAAACAGCCTCATTAGTCAACACATTATTCTGAACAGAATAATTTCCATTAAATTCCCAATCGAAATTTTTTAATTAACCAACTGGTTATTATGAAGAGCAGATCCATCAGTACTGATTGATTTTACATTAATAAACACAACATCCCAGTAACCATTGATTTTGGTTAGGAAAACTCAAAACAACTCACAAGTTAGACAACTGTAATTTGCGATCCACGGCATCCAACACGTCGGAAACGTGTTGATCAATTCCTCGGTCAAATTCCTCACGGGTCCGTGGGGACAGACCGTCCATAAACAATTGCACTTCACGTCGGCGTTCTTCATCCGGTTCTGATTCGTAATCAGACAGCTCCGCAGGTTCCACAGCTTCCGCCTGCATAACACCTGCCATGTACGGAGTGTATGTAGATACTCGTACTAGTATCTAATAAAAGGTCAACATTACCTTCGACACACTGCGGCATCAGGGCACCCGGTCCAGGGGCTCCAGCCACCAGCGCCTGCTGTCCCAATCCGCCAACTGCTGGCAGTCCAGCATTGCCATTTTCATTGGCAATATTGACGTCCGGCATCGGCTCGTCCACTTGAATCTGCTGTCCAGCAGGTTCTTGATGAGCGATCTGCATTTGCATCGGAACTCGAATTGGTTGAACCGGTTGACCTTGACCTTGGTTGCGATGAGCCAACCACTCCGGCCAATCACAATCCACCGGCGCCAACTCCGGAAACTTGCACCATCGGGCCAACGCGTTAAACTTCTGGCTCGCCGTGTACGTTCGCCATCCAGCGTAACGGTTCCCTGCAGGCACCACACCCTGCACAATAACTTCCGCGGGCTGGTTGATCGGGCGACCGTCATCCAGACGTCGTTCACCACGCTGGAAATGGGCCTGACCCGGTGCATTCGGGGCATTTCCTCCGTTTCGTTGCTGATAACGGAACCGAACCTGATCCCGGTTAAAGCGACCACCCCGGCCACGACCGCGACCGTAGTTCTGATATTGCAATTGATGAGTCGGGGCTTCATCTCCATACAGCGCAGTAGTCAACATACTGTACAGCGATCGACGAGGACGATCCATAATGAATATAAAAGTACTATTATATTCAAACTCCAAGGGTCACTTAACGACTATAATGAACCGAAGTAAGATATGACTTTTTCAAAGTAAGAAAAGTCTGCAAACAAGTTGAAAGCACACTGAAATACTGACTCCGGATTTCAGCCGGATGAGCCATGCAGCTGCTCAGTTGCATGCTCGTACAAGTCGGAACATCCTCCACTCAGTCTGTACAAGTAGTACTTACTTGTACTTAGGATTCTGGTTTATCAGCCTACCAGCTCTCGACTTCTTCACCTGGCTCTGCACTTGTACAAGTCCAGGGTTCACTGCTTGCTTAGCTGGCACAGCTGCAGCCGGTACAACAGGTTGCAGTGCCTCGACAGGATCAATGTCAGGATCAAGAGCATTGTCCGTGGCCAGCATCTTTTTTGCCCTTCGTGGTTTATGGGAAAAGTCAAAAACAGTCTCATCTGTTTTTGGCTCTTCCGGCATGGTATAATCCACTGCCAACCTGGGAATATACTTTTTCATCCTTGACACATGTACTTTGTCGATGCGGGCTTTACCGCCACGCAACGATTTTATCATGTAATTAACCGGGTCAAGTTGTTCGATCACTTCATACCCGGATAACCAGATATCACAGAATTTCATCAGTTTCCCTTTCAGGCTGTTGGCTGGGCAACTGGTCATATATGACGTCCTCTGACAGGACTGCTTCCGCAACGGGAGCATCCAGTTTGCGCATGTAATTCTGACAGAATTTACATTTCTGTTCAATTCTGACGAGAGACTCATTCATACCAGGCCAGTAGAATCTTTCCAGTACCGTTCCTCTAAAGGAAATCTTTTGTGGCGTATCACTGTCGTGATACTTTTGGTGGTAATGCCACATTAGTGCTTCAGTACGCTGTTGTGGTACCACAAAGCGATTCTTCGTGTTCGGACCAGTGCGCTTTCGCTGGAGAAAACCTTTCCATTTAGAGAACGCATGAATCTCATCACGTTCAGCCGATGTCATATCGACATGCGGGTTTTCATATAGATATATCCAGTTTCGTGTATCTAGTTCTGCGCGCTGCTGTTTGCGCCAGTAGTCGTATGACTCATAATCCAAATTTTCTGGTTGCTTACGAATGTTCTTATTCGTATACGTTGTAGTGCTTTTGGGGGGTTCCTCATCCCCACCAACAAGCGATGGTACCATCGCTTGGGTACTTCCGGTGGCAACTGCATCAAATGCCTTGCGTTTAAGCACTGCAATTTTTGGTTGCACTTTCTGTTTTTGTGTTATTTTAGCCACATTATGCATACCAGGTTGTACTTCCTCAGTACTTTCTGTCTCAAGACTATACAAGTAGTTTTGATATTCCTGATATGTGACATCCGTTTTATTGAGATTCTTCCCGTCTGCAATGACACGTACCGTGCCATATGCTGCAATCTCGAGCATTGCCGGGATTGACTCCTCCGAGCGATTGTCAGTTAGCTCTACTGCCTTCAGACATTCACCGAAGTACGGAGACCTCCGTACTACGAACATAGATGACCTTGTATCAACTCCTCCCTTAGAAACAATATTCATTGTTTCAAAATCGAAGTAAAATGGTTTAAAGACCCAAAAGTCCGTTCCCAATATGATATTGTCCTTTCTACTTCCGGTAGATACAAAGGCTGCATGTTCGTACCATTTACCGAATATGCACACGTAAAACACTGTGCATTGTGGTTCAATCGGGTTAACGTCCGCGATTCCCGTAGCAAGTGAAATGCCCTGTACGTGGTCATTACACTTGTAAATTTTCAGATTTAGTTTCTCCGCAATTGCCATAGGTACAATGGAGATGCAGGCTCCTGTATCTACCATAACCTTAACGAATTCTTTATCGTTAATTTTTAACGCGAAATATGCCGCTTGAGTATCTAGCGACGGTAGATACTGCTTAGGGCAAGTCTCGTATTGTGCGAGTGCAGGGTCATCCACAAATACTTCATTGTTATTGTTTTCCTTTTTTGTGACTTTTTTCAACATATAATCCTTGATTAACTGTTGAGGTGGCTCTGCCATCTTCGGTTTAAGTGCAGAGTAGAATTAAGTTACTGTACTCGTATTAATTTAACCGTGTTAGTAATTTTTAATCCATAAACCCTTTGGTGCAAACATCGAATTCATTATTAAATTCCACTGTAACGGATGCAATTATATATTTGTACAGCGGCACAAAAGCAACGAAATAGTGGCCCAAACTGGCATTGAATTACTGCGCTGAAGGCTTTTTAACCGGTCAAGTTCATGCGCTCTCTGCTGGGTGGCCTTCTTGGTTTTGATGTTTTGCAGTAAACTGTATGAAAACATAGGCTCAATTGCCAAGCCAGTCCATGTTTTCACACGAGAAAAGCCAACGTATATAATTACTACAATTAATAATTACTGCAAGCATGTGTTCGATAATGCATTTAAATAACAGGTCAGAATAATCCTTGTAGGTGTTTTTCTCGTGTTGACTTGGAAACAATAACATACCGCAGCATGGCATGATGTGTTGGAGCAATGGTTCTTGTAAGGATTACGCACGCGTTCTTCCCTCGTATGGGAACAATTCGTTCATTGGCTGTGATCACAACCAATAGAAATTGCGAAATGGGCTCCATTACATTACCGTCTAGGCGCTACTAATTACAGCCCCGCCGGGCCAAGTTGGGGCAGTTTTTTCTAAAAATTACTACATGTCTGCCGTCAGTAAATAAATAAATATTTTTTTTTAACTTGATTGCCGAAGGTGTTAGGCATCTTTTGAATTATAGGTCTCTTTGTTTAGAAGGTGCTTACAATCACAGTGAGGTGAAAACTAAAGTCGACCAACTTCAAAATACCACTAAACCCGTATGGAGTGACAGTTTCACTCCCACTCATTATTATTTTAAAAATTCCGTTGAGACCGTGGTCTTAAGGTGATAAACTACAGTTGATTACCATTCAATTCTCCTGTGGGAAGTGCTTGACAACAGGCGATTTCAGCCTAGCCTCTATGACCTTTGCACTCCGTCGGCGAGCACCGTCAAAGTGAAGGGTGACCTTATCTTCGACCTTGCCGCGCAGCTGCAGAATGCCAGAGATGGCCGTTTCCGATAAAATCTCGTTCCCAAAGCACTAAGCGTCAGCTCCAGGTTTTCAGTTCATGTAAGAAGCCGAAGACACTCGTCTCTAACAAACTTCGAAAGCCATCTCAAGGTTTTGCTGCTACAGCTTTGCTGGTTTTTTCTTCCACACTTCTGGCACTCCCACCTCCCCGCCTATGAGACAGGAATTTCTCGGCACATCAAAGTGGACTAACAGGACCTATGACTTACTCATAGAGAGTAATAGTTTTAGGTCACCTCAATCTATGCGCTAGGCAACCACATTCCTCGTTTCCTCGTTACGCCACTTTTAACATGCAAGTCTATGGGAGGTGTCCCTTGTTGCAAGGCTAAGTCAATCACCGAATGCTCAAAATGTTTTTCTGACCCATGACAAATGCCGTTTTGGTCACTCAACAGTTTGCCAAAAAGCTCATGCAAAAATATCGATCGGTGAATTTATTAGAGGGGCAGTTGTAAGGATCCCACAAAGGACTACTACCTCACCCCCTAAATCAACCTTCGGCTCCCTACTATCAAATCAAAAGACCCCGATTTTAGTGTTTTTGGATTGGCGATAAAAAGTTACACCGGAATAGTTTAAACATGAAAACCAAGCAAATTATAGAAATATTTGCCAGTTGTTTTTCAAAAGTGCCCCAACTTGGCCCGGCAGGGCTGTAGGTGCTACTAAATACTTTAATAAATTCGCGTTTGCAACCATTACATTGTCTAGGCGCTACTAATTAGGTGCTACTAAATACTTTAATAAATTCGCGTTTGCAATGCGAATTTCATCTAGGTGCTACTAATTAGACGCAATCAATATTTTATTGCAAATTATGCACGTGCAATATATGTAGGTGCTACTAATTAGGTGCTACAAATATTTCTAGGTTTTTTCTAGACACGTGTAAGTTATGTCTAGGTGCTACTAAATAGGTGCTAATAATATTTTATTGCAGTGCAATGCAAATTACTAGTATATCTAGGTTCTACTAAATTTTTTAATAGCAACGCGATATGAATTTAGGTGCTACTAATTAGGCGCTACTAAATATTTTAGTATAATCGAGCCGTGTAATCCGGTATCTCACAATTTCTATTGGTTGTGATGTTAAATTTTCACAGCCAATGAGGGCATTGTTCCCATACGAGGGAAGAACGCGTAGGACTACGCTGTACGTATATTTATGCAACAACAACAACATGGCGTGATGTGATAATTATTATGAACTTGCAGCTGGCGCTTACCAGATACCATTTCTCCTGAATATTTTACAGATTCTGATGTTTACGAATAGAAAAGTGGCGATATAAAAAAAGCCTTATAGTCATCTTTAATGTTGCCTGCACGTATTGTACGTGCATGACAATTAAATAGGAATATGAGAAAAAAGTGTACGGCCGAGCGAGGAAAGGTCATCCTGAATCCCGTTCGTCCAGACTAAATGGTAAGCAAGGCTGCTGCCCAAATTCAGATTTGTGAGAAAACTCTGCATAGCATGCTGCAACGACGGCAGAAAAAATAACATTTCTTTAGTTCCTATTCTGCAATGCGAGGCCGTGAAAGTCCAAGGCCAAAACGGGACGCATACACTCGCGGTTTGGCGTTTCATGAGTCGTTGGAAGAATTGATTATGGACGAACAAACCAAAACAACCCAGATGACGAACATTTATACATTCGGTTAGGTTTTACTTTAATTTTTTTTATCAAAAAGAAGACTAGTAGTTTCTGTAATAACTAACATTGCATTTCCTTATTATTAACCGCAGTATAATATACCTTGTACAAAAAAGTGCTCCTCTAATGAGAGGAAATCACATAAACGGCAGAGCTATTTTTTTGCAGACCAAGGCGCTCACTGATTATAATTGTTAGACGCCGCGACATATCATTGTACAAAAAGGACAAAAGCGCAACAAATTCGCCAGCTCCCTGTTGCAACAGTGCCGAAATCTGTACCCGCGCAGAGAAGACTTGCCAAGATCGATCTGAGCAAATTTCGGGTTAAGATAGTGGTGACCAACCGGCGGCGACGGGGACATTCTTCGCATGGGCCATCGCGACGTCGTATTAATTCTATGCACTTGATTGTCTACTGTATATATGTAGCCGTAAAAGTAATTTCAATAAGACTTATTATGACATGAACAAATGAATCATGTCTTCGTATCGATTAGAAAATCATTAACAAACTGGAAATTATCTTCAGCTGACTCAATTTATTCTATCTGGTTATGTCTCGATGAGTATATGGGTGTTTTATTGCACATGAAATCCTGTTTTACGGACTGATTTTTCCATTCTTTGTTTAGTTTTGGCGAAACAAGGCTGCGAACGTCGAAGAAATCGAGCTTCGTATTTAAAGGCAAAGTTTTGGTTGAGTAGGGTATCGGCCGGCAGTTGGAGCAAAAGAAGACGCGGCAGGACCATAAGCCTAACGCTTTCAACAACCGCAGCGCCGAGTTCTTGATCCAGAAATGGACGACACCGATCGCGCCACACAGGAAGCGCAGAAGGCATTTGCTACACAGTACACATGCCGCTACAATGCAACTCTGGTGAGCCATTTCTGTTGATCGATATATGGGCCGCTGAAAAAAATACACAGGGAAATTTATTTTTGAAGGAAGCTTATTGACCTTTTTTTTATTTTATTTACTTAACACAGTATCATGACAAATTGGTCGATACAATAACTTATTTCAGCAAATCTTAGTAAATGAAGAGTTAGATATTTATTGCGATTATAAATCCCAGGCTGGAACCAAACAGGCAAACGCAACTGTGTTAATATTCAGATTAAAATTGACGCAACTGCTTTAAAATCTGACTAAATCACATTCAACCACCAAACTTTGCGAAATTTGATTACGCAATCGGATGTTTAGCAAAAATAATGGAACCGGTATCCAGCGGTAAAAATATCCCACTGCGCAATGGGCAACCTGTTTACAAAATAACACAGTCTATACAAAAAAGAAATTTAATTACGGCTTTTTATATACAATCAACCGGCTTTTAAATGGCCGTAAAATTTTCTGGCATCGGGTATTTTTTTCTAAGGTGATAATTTTTAAATCCCTCTAGAATTATTCGCCCAAGCTGTGTCGCCTGGGAAATGTACAGTAAGCCGCGCGTTAGGGGCCAAATTAAATCAAGCTGCGTTGTCGCGACACTTGTAAGATGCGCTCCTTGTAAGAACAATGATATGCAAAAAATGCCGGCCAATCTCTCCGACACGATCTTGAGCTGCGGCTAACAAGGGCGCTCAGGAGAAAAATGCGGGGCGCGTAATCATTAATCAGCATCGGAGTGGTGATTTTAAAACAGCGCTCGGCCGCTGTTGGCGCTTGTCACTCACGCTTTCCTGTCGTCGCATCAGCTGGAGGCGCTTTTAATTATGCCATATTATCTGCATATTATATTTCTTTACTCGAAATTGTCATACAACATTACACGCAAATTCAGGGCGTTCAAAATACGAACCGGCAATTTTTTAATTAAAAAATGCGCTTTTAATTGTACTATGTTGTCTGCATATTATTTTTCTTTATATGACATTGTCATACGACATTACACGCAAAATCAGAGCACCGAAAATACGAACCGGCAAATTTTTTTTCAATTCAAAAAATTTAATGCACGGCCGCTCACAATGACCATATCGGTGCAGACAATATAATAGAAATTCCCGAAATTCTGCAGCTATCAATGACCGGAAAGTGTAGGCAGGGTAGTGTGCATACAGGATCGTATAACGCTGCTGTTGTTGTTGCTGACGGACGTGATCAAGCGTGCGAATTAACCACGGTTGTGTTCGTGCGGCAATGGCAGCCGAATATACAGCGGAATAATTACTGACGAAACTGGTAATTGCCGCGCTGCCGTTGGAGAGTGAAATACTCTGACGTACGCAAGCTAGAATTAAAATTAGCGCTGCGACGTCGGTTTTGCGGTGCTGGATGCGTCAAAAATAAAGGTCAACTGAAAATAAAACGCCGGTTAGAAATTACGTCTGGTATTAGTATTTTCTAACGATCATATTAATAAAAATTATTTGCCGGTAAAGTAACTTATAGTATGGTATTATTACGCGCAGCCGCCCGCAGCCGCCAACCCCTTCATTAGGCGGCTACTTTGCCGTGTTGCGCAGCGCGGAGGGGTGTTTTCCCACGGGTCTATAACTGCGGTTAAGTGCCGGTTTCCGCTGTTAACAAGGTCAGCAGCGGAGCGTTTTCATATATAGAGCGGCGTGTTATTAATTAAACATGGTTTATAGTTGGGTTACCACGCCAGCGGTGCAGTGTTAGCGGATGTTTACATTTGCTGGCATACAAGCAGACGCGGCATTGTGCAACCGGGACTGTGTAATCAAAACCTTAACCCGATAACAAACTGTCAGATGATCGCGAAACATCCTGAATATTAATCCGCACACGGCGTTCCATAATTTTTCACAGTTGTTCTATCACAAACACGCAAATATATCATTATTTAACGCAGTAATTTTACTTTAATTGATAATAATTTTATATATAGAAAGGTCATGGTGTTTAGTGAGATAATTTTAACGGTACCGTCAAAATATTATGTAACAATTTTTTACACGAAATGATATATCATCAGTTCTTGTTTCGGTAGGCAGCAACACACCATATGTTTTCACTTTTTTACAAAAAGTGTATCGCATCACATTTCCACCGGATCAGCTGCACACGTCCGCGGAAGAGAGAAAAAAGCCACCACCACCAATTGGCGCAGATGTGTGCAGTGCGCCGTAACAGTTTCCATCGTAAAACCAACACAAACTGGATTATGCATGCTGATGCGCGGAGTCGTGTAATATGCGTCTTTACTAACAGCTAAAAGTACCGCGAACGCATACGAATCAACCCGGTATCCGGTACTACGGCATATTAAGACTGCTGGCGCGAACAACAAACACCCGTTAATACGCGCATTCTTCAAGCCGGCTAACACAACGGTGAAGTTCAATGACAACATCCGACTGCGCACAGCGGGGTTTAAAGTAGCATTCCCGCTGTGCAATCAAGTGAAGGGTCTTGGTCACAGCGAGCTGTACGTACGTCGGTGCGCGTACAAGTGCGCCGAGTAGAGCCGCTCGAAGTCAGTGGAATATAGCCGCAGAACGCAGTGTCTTGTTCTACAGCAGCTTGTTCTACAGCAGCCACAGCGAGCTGTACGTACGTACGTAGATGAGCGTACCAGTACAACGGGTAGAGCCGTTCAATACCAGCTTCTCGTTCTACAGAAGCGAGCTACAGGCGTTCTACAGCGAGCTGTACGTACGTTGGTGCGCGTACAAGTGTGCCAAGTGCAACCACTCGAAGCCGGCGGAATACAGCCGTCGATCTCGTTCTACACAGCATTCGGCCTTTGCTCAGCATTATACAGCGGCTACATTACGACCTCGTTGTTGACGGTGGATGGATATGACTGTTACTCTCCGGCGCGTAATAATGCAGATTGCTTTTCTTTCTCATGTTTAATAACCGCCACTCTCTCTCTCCCTCGCTCTTTTAACTGTGTATGGGAAAACCAGCACGTTTCTTTGTCTTTACTGATTATATTCTGCATTAACAGTGGAAACGGTAAGGACTTGGCTCGTGTTTGGAGTGGCTACCCGCGCACTCACTGTTCTTTTAAAAAGACACTTGCCATTTCCGCACTGCTAATCGGTCAAACAACGGATTGATTGTGCGTGGTGTGTACTTTCTCATCGCTACTTGTTGCTAAAGCGTTGTGTGGGAATCCCTGCTAAATTTTTCTCCAATGGATCGGAAGAAGGTCCTAACGGAGCCAGCGGCCGTCCGCGTCGGTTTCTCCATCAATCCCGAGAAGAACGTCACCGTGGAGAATGACCGGAAGAAATACCTCACCGCCAAATATGGTCAGCATCAGATGGCGCTGATTAAAAGCGGTTAAATGTGGAGTTATGGCTAATTGACCAGCTGTCCCTGCTGTATCCCAAAGCGTCCACCGTGACCCCATTAGAGTGTGACATTGATCTGGATGATCTGCTTGACCTTGAGCGTGATGAGGAACGCCGGAAATTTCTCAAAATCAAACTGGCCGATTGTCCCCAGTCGGCGCTTATTGTCGGGCGGTTTATTGAGGATGTCCTCGTCAAGGCCAAGTCCTTGTAGAGAGAGCACTGTATGGAATTTCATTTATACCGCGTTACAACATGTTCCAGCATGGCACGCAGCGGAATTTGTGATTGTTTTTGTAATGCGCGCGCGTTCGGCTGCCGCCCCGAAAATTGTATAATCACGGCTCTGATGGGCAATTCTTTGGGGGATTCATCGGGAGTTTTAATATTGTGGTTATTTGTGCAGCTACTTGATTTTTCTCCTACACCGTACACACATGCTGCTGCTGTATAAAGCGGAATTATTTTGATGTCTCTCACAATGGCACGCCAAAGACATTTTATTCGTGTGGGGAGGAGTTGCAGATTTTCCTTACTGTGTTTTCGTTTGCTTTCCTATTCAGCTGTATTGTTCGTATGTTTTTTCTATAAAGAAAAGCTTTGCGTTTCCGGTTTTGCCTCAGCGTTCGGCGGGCGGAGTGTTCTTGTGGCGGTGGTATTTAATTGACAGATGTCCGGGAGTTGTTCTGTATATTACGCGTTTCTTAAAGAATCCATGCCGGTTAAATCGAGTGCTTGCTCATGCACGCCATTTGACCGATTCGCGGTGCGCCGGCTCATGTTTATATAATATTAATCAACGTTTATGCTTGCAGTGATAGTGGCGCTGGGTGGTGAATGTATGTTTCTCTCCTGAATAAAAACAAACGGATCACAGATGGCAATTGTCAAAAGAGAGCTGCTCAGCTGCACTGAGCGTGTTTTCTATGAATTATGTGTGTGGATAAATATGACGGATATGGATTAAACAAACCGGTCGATTGCTTGATTCTTTATTCGAGGCAACGCCCAATATTTGATTTACATTATTTTGATACGCTGATACGTAAATACACACAATTTAAACTTACGCTTTAAAAATATTTAAAAAAAAACAAATATTATTTTGATTTTGCAAGAATATTTTACATAAAAATTTTTATTACATACAATTATTTACAATAGTAAAACGAGCACGAATATGTCTATGAAATCAATAACAAATTCGGCGAGAGATCATTTTGAAGTATTTTGATAAATTAATTGCCGGTCTACATAACGCATTATCGCGGGGAAAGATGAATAATGCGCGGGCCATCAAACAAGCGCTGTCGTGACCTTGACGGATGCGGTAATTTATCGTCTATATTGGCGTCATATATCTTGTCTGCCGGCAAGATTGATATGGAATTAATTGAATAATAAAATGCGCCTGTACATCGCAGCAACAGCATCTTCTACGGCTTGCGCCTTTAGGAAAAATTATGCTCAAAATGCGCGAATCCATCAAAAGACCACACACATCACGATACATGTGTCAGCGGGAGGAGAACGCTTTCTTAATTACCATACAAAAAATGCACCCAACGGAAACATGGGTACATAGAAAAAAGGCAGGCTGTGTTTAACGTGATAAACTGTTAAAGAAGTGGTGCGTATTTAATGTCATTGATGGTCTGCGGACTAATTTGATTAGATGGCTGCAGTGCCGAAGATATCGCTGTACACGCTGCTATGTGTATAAGCAGCTGCAACTGTATTCCAACAGTGTTGCCAGTGATTACTCAAGCGCACTTCCGCTCTAATGTCAATCAAGCCAACTCTTTACGGAGTATATAGCCGCATACATTTGCAGCGCTGCGTGGCCTTATCGCGCCGCTGTCTGCGCAAACACAGAGTGTATCGCAATTGTATGCGGCGAATAAGCATTTTGTATTATTTTGTATGCGAGTGATGCTTCGCGTAAATTAATGCTCCATATCGTTTCCAAATCAATAAAACGATGTTACGTAGTACTTACTCTCTACTGTCCCCAGATTTATCTTTATTATCGAATCCGAAATATTATGTCTGTTCGTGTATAACTTAACTATGCAGCATATAAAATTCTGATCCTATTTAAAAAAAATGCCGGCAAAATTTTACTGCTGAGAATTAAAATTTTAAATAAATTCTAGCATAATTCGCTAAAAATTAAGTTTAGAAATAACTGGATAAGCAAATTTTATTCAGTACAACTTTGCACAGTAAAAAATAAAAATCAGAATTTTGTAATTTGTAAAAACAGAATAGTTTTTGTTAATTTTAGAATAATTCTCCAAAAAATTGATAAACATAAAAATAAAAATAAACATAAAAATAAAAATAAATTGATAAACAAATTTTATGCAGTACAACTTTGCACAGTAAATATAAATACAATTCATTTTGTAGTTTTGTTTCTACAGAAATACAGTACATAGGAATGCTAAGAAATTAAATTTAAAAAAAATTAAAATATTTCACGTATTCGTTTTTCTACAGCGGAGATCCGTTGATTGGCGTTCGCTGTTCGATTTCTGCAGATATATGGATTTACGGCGTGTCACGCGGTGGCTTGATGAGTGGCGAGCACAAGATTATTTCAGGTCTTAAACAATGTTTTAATGGCACATTAGGCCGTTTTACGGTGTGCAATAGGCTCCGTTAAACACTGCCACATGTGCATCATTAGCCCATCAATTGACCGGCTAATTTCTACGTATCATGTGTTGTTCCTGATCCGAAAACCAATATTAACGTAAAAGCCAATGTACTCGACAACAAAATGACATTGAGCGCTATTTTTACATTTCTCCGATTTGTCTCCGCACCAGTTTTCTTGTAAGGTCAGCCTGGCAGATTTCAAGAACACATCAACAAAAAAATGTTAAAGATTTAAGAAAAGATCCGTAATTTGTGCAAAACAAATACAAGTAAAATCCTATAGCGCGCCAATAAAATTCTCTAATTTGTGTAAAACAAACAAAAAAAAGTACGAATTTGAATTAATGGAAGTACGTGTAAATTAAATGAACAGAAATTACAGAATTACAGAATTTGCAAAAAATATACGACATGTTGAGATAAATATTCGACTAAAATTTAGTAGCATTTGCTTGAAAAAATTTGAAACTTTTCCAGTAAATGTAAACGAATTCTGCGTAAACTATACTGCACATAATTATAAACCGAAATTTTATTGCTTTACACCGCAACAAACGTTAATGTTAATTTGATACATTTCTCAGAAATGTTACTCGTTAAAAGATAATAAATTTTTTCACCTGTTTATTCGCACCGTTAAACTTAACTACGTATGTATGCATTTTACGTTTTTTAAACGCAATGCTTCGCGCATGAGTGGCGGCGCACCGTGAAAAGCCCCTAAAAATTTTCCCAATTGCGTTGTTCAGTATGCAGCGCAGTACGCACAATACCGCCTTAAACAGCCGCGCACGAAGGACGCAGCGGCTCGATTGACTGACCAGTCACCGTCAGTTGGGCACTGTCGAAGCCGGCACGCAACAACATCATCGCCGGGCCGCGGGTATACTTAAGGCCGTCGTGATTTGTTCGTCCACTGACAGCTGAAGATGAGCCGGGGCCTGGTTTTATGGCGGGTATATATCTGTACACGCAGTAATGGGCAACCTTTGCCGTGGTTTTATGGCTCGGATCTTTATGGCTCTGGGGACAATTAGCGCTTCCTCTATTACCGCGGCTACGAAAATCTCCACTTCCGGCTGGGCATGTGGATATATACGCGCAGATGCGGCTGTTGTTGATGGCGATGGTTTCGACGAATAAATTTCCCCGGTGCAATCCGCGACGATTTTATAAATTATAAGCCGGATTTGTTTGCGGCTGTTTTTGCAGAGTTAATACATATCCGTGAATTGTTATCCTATAACAGTTTTCGTCATAATTCTTAAATGTTATTTCGTAGAAACGATTTTCGTAAATATTTTTCTACCAGAAGATGTTTTATTTCGTTTTATTTTTATGGAAACGTTTTTCTATAATATTTTTTTCCTGTGCAATTCGTCAGCATGAAATTGGTGGACATTGTATTAGTTCACATTGCATATATTATGCACTTGCTCTGTAACGTATAACTTTGATTTCCTTGAAAGGACAAATTCCCAGTTAATTTCCAACCTTCTTCTCTCTTTTAAATAGACTTCACGTGCGAAACGAAAATTCAAAAGATTTATTAAAATTGTTCAGTGATGCCCGTTTAAGTCTGTTTAAATGTAGTTCGTTCGATATTTGCTTGAGCGAACATTATTCAATAATTTTTGATTGGCATATACTTTCCCGGCAACCTGGCCTACATTTTCCGGTGACGTTAAAAAGGAGCTTATTTGAATCAGAAATTAATTTTTAATTTACGCGCTGTATTCCTCCAACTGCGCAATGCATGCCATTGCACTGGTGGCAAAAATTAATTCCCCAAAAGAAATACGATTTTCTCTAATGTTCTCTCAAAACCTTTTAATCATCGTTATTCTCCTATAGCCAACAAGACCACCGTCACAAACGGGTCTCAACATCGCCGTTCGCTGACACAAATTACTCTCTGACTACATATATATCCCGTATTACTCTGCGCCGTTCCCTTAATCCCACGTATTTCCCTGTAGAGACCGCTATGTAAGCGGATCAGGTGTCATTAGCATCTGTATACAGCCACCCGGCATTACACGGCGGCGCCGGCGGGTATTTTTTTATAGATATTCCGGTCATCGAAATTAACCATCGATGGGCTAATTTGATTCTCTCCATTATCCGCCATTTGAACCGGAAACACCTCGCAGCATTTTTCCCGGAATTTATTTTGTTCACCGGATATGTAGAAAAATTTAAAATAAATACGGAAAATAATCCGTTATTGATAGTATATATCCCACGTGTTAGCTTTTTCTGGATTTTCTTCCAACGTCAGCGCGTCCCTGTTGAGAGGCACTTGAGGGTGGTGTTTGAATAATGCAGCGGTTTGTAAAGAGGACATACTTATAAATTTCTCAGATATGCCCGATTTTCTTGGCAGCTTTACTCCCATAGTGATCTCCATAATGTATAAGAGGATAGGATAAGAACAGGCGGTGGTGTAGTGCACTGGGAAACAAAATGCCGGAAGCGTCATGGCGACCGGAATAAATGCCGCGCATGGCTATATTGGTATATGCTGCTACGTATATCCGCTTGTGCGGGTAACGCCTGTATTCCAGTTAGATGGTTGATGCCGCTCAGACGCAACGGCGGCGTATTAATACACCGGAAATTAACGGGAAAATTTATCCTGAAGTATCACCTGTAAAGTTCAGCGCATCACGAGAAATAATTGTACTGCTAAAATGAGTCAAACTGCTTTTTTAATTATATAAAATCCTGCAAATGTTTGCCGGGAAATCGTTTTGCCATCGATTTTTTGTGAAATTTATTTAAAAGTGAAAAGTTTCATTTGACGTTACTTTATAAAACGGAATCGGTATTAAATGCGTAGCTTGCAGATGCCGGTTTGCGACAAAATATGTATGTTTATATACAGAAATTTTAACTTTATTTGTAGGCAAGTTATATCATATAAAAATTAAATCTAAAGTAAATATACATAGTAACTATGGAACTGTGTTAATAAAATGTACAACATTTATGCCTTTAATAAATATGAGTAAATATAAAATATTTACTTTTATGTACAGAAATTTTAAAAAGCCTAAGTATATTTTAATTGCAAATTTTATTATATGTAAAGTAGATTTAGAGCTAACACAAAATAAGATAAATCCAAATAGATTGCCCCCATTTTATTTAGGTGCATCGAGCAAATTCCATAAATATATCGAATTGTCTGCAAAGAAGACAAAAGTATTGATGTACACACATGTATATACAACATCGGGGTTCTGTCAATAAATGGCTTGTTAACCTAGTAATATTTAATATTTAATAATAATATTTAATATTTAATCGTAATATTTAATCGATGGCGCGTATTCACAGCGGGATTATCAAATCAGTAGCGCCGCTTTTTGATCCATAAACCCCATCTGAATATGGATTACGACGCGGTCCGGCAACAGCAGCACGACACGCCGAGAAAGTGGAACATTCCCGGCTTTGCCGCTACCCGGCAATCATCGTCGCTTCAACCGGATACATTGAATATTAACCATTTGTCCGGGTCTACGAGATGATAATATTGATACAGTGTAATAATTATAAATAAAGCAATCAATTTTTTATGGATGAAAAGTGGTAACTAATAATATATTTTTGTAAGTGGTTGTAAAAACACTGAATGAATTCCTGGAGCGTCCGCTCATATCGAAATGGATGATCGGTTGTAAAGTACTCGTAACTTACGATTAATTGATGCACACTGTTGCACAGTACTTTCTGTGTATACAGTCAGGGTTTCTATATTATGGCATTAACGTGGCCGCCTAGGTCGGCCGCAGGAAGAATGGCAGTTTGTACTGAGCTTACTGTTAGCTACAATTTTTAATTACCGGTATATATATTTTTCACATCCTGCAGCTCACCGCTTAACTTTACCGTGTTGATGTCTACCCATTTGCTAGTTATAGGCTGTCGGATGTTTCTCCAGACTGGCTTGCTAACAGCGGGGTTAGTGAATGACGGTTCGGCCCCGAAGAGGGCACGTAACTCGTGTGCGTTTTTCAAAAATTAATTTCTCTGATTTGACCGGACTGTACTAATAAAAATCCACTTACTACCCATTACCCGAAACACATAAACCAGGAAGCCGTTAATTATAATTATAGACACAAAACTTGACCCCACCATCTCGTTTGCCAGCTAGATGATGCACATACCGGTATTACAGACATAATATTTTATTAAAGTACGCTTGTATTACCGGCAGACTTTTGCCGAAGTTTAAGTTCGGATTTTCTGTCGCGGTTTACATAATATAATCCTGATCGAGAAGAAGTGGCTCTCGACAAGAGCAACATGCAATGCCGCACGTGGCAAGAATAATAATTATAATTACCGCCAGTGGAATGTGGATATTAGAAATAAGAAGTCCGAGTTCCGTAAAATTAAAGTTCAGTGTCTGCACAAGCAAATGAATGTAAATATCTTCTAGAATGAATGCAAATATCTTCTAGAGCAGATGAATGTAAATATCTGCTTATTACATATAAACATAGAAGAAGCCTTCGTATACTTGACGGGCTAGCAATACCGGAATTGTCGGCTTTATATATTTGACCTTTAGCAAGCATGATTTTTTGCCATTACAGTGCCAGTGTTTTTATCCGGTTTCTCATTCTAGCGCATGGTCACCGGAAATGAGCGGTGAAAGTCCAGTCCGAAATTACGGACGCAGTACAAGTATACATATGGCGCGATGTGGCGCCACTGTACGCTCTGGAATCCTCCTCCGTTAAGAGGGCCAATGGCAGCCCGCGACAAACGAAGCGGGGGGCCGGGCGGATCATGCATGCTGCCGGCATCACGGCCGGCGCAGGTGCAAACTGGGTTTCCGCCGGAAATGCGGTAATCTGGCTCTTCCGGAGGCGCGCACCGCCGAAGATTACCACCGCGCGCGGTTGCATCGTGGGCCGTTGGCCGGAGTGTGTGACGGAGGAGTGCCGCAGCCGGATGAGCTGGAGCAGACGCGGATGTTCACGTGCTGCTACATAACCGGCACCGACCGCCTGCTCTGCTGCCGGCGGAAACATTTGTCCGAATTCCAAAGCATATTTTCTGAATGAAAGAATAGAATTTTAGATAATTAGTGTTCTAAATAGCGTTGTTTTTTTAATTTTTCATTTAATTTATGGTTGCGGTGCCGCAGCATGCATTGCCCTGCGAGATGTAGGCTTTTTACACTGTAGTCTGTGGAGCAACTACTTTTCTTTTGAAAGTGCTGTAGCAAACGTTATACAATACCAACGATTATGACATTAAAAGCTCCTAAAGTACCTAATGGATCAAAATTCCGCTGAATTATTTGATTATTCTGCTGCGAATACGAACCGATTCAACTGCATCGCTGAAGATTTTCCCGCGGTAGTTCGTAATCTCCACCCGGAAGTGACGCCGCGCAGCAAGTAACAGTCCATTAGGATGTACATATATCTGGGAAAGAAAAAGAACTTGGTTAGTTTTCTTCTAAAACAACGGCATAACATAGATAATATCTGTGTTGGTAATCAGCTTTTAAAGCAAAAATAATAAAACAAGTAAATAAATTGGAAAAATAAAAACTTAGAGTCAAAGTAAAATCGAAGTACGGATAGTACGCGGCATAGTCTGCATGATCATCGAAAACAATAATAATTACAATGGCCCACGTGCCAAGACCGGTCATCACCGACATACGCATAGTATGTGTATTGAAAATTTGAAATACGTGCGTTCGATCCAAATTCCATACAACCCAACGCAGCGATCGTGCGAACAATGATGAATAATTTCCTGTTCCCTTGGAGACAATCTCCATAATATTACTGGGCGAGTGTACCGGAAATGTCGGTGTGTATTTATAAGTAATAGTACTTTATTTCTCAATATGTACAAGGCGAGCTTCGCTCAAAAAATATCATCAAATGAACAAATTTATAAGTTATAACATGTAATAATATACCGTCCGCGGTTTCGCGGTGGTCGGCTGCCACCACTGGGCGGTGACCGTGTGGACGAACGGGATAAGAAAGGTCATAAGCGGGATGGAACGCATTTTAGCGTAAGTGCATGTAGCGGCACCGAAAACCGTGTCACACCGTTCTGAGAGTAGGATAGTGTTATTGGTGTATTGGCGCTACACACTGCAAAGAACAAAAGCATGCGTGTTAATATGTTTCTGGCGCGGTTCTGCTCCCTGGAGTCGGAGTGCCTCCCGGGCGAATGGGTGGCGGCGACCAGCGAAGAGCAGGACGAGCGGGATCGCAAGGACGGCTACATCGACTGGTGCAGGCTGGAAATTTTGTGAGTCAAAAAGAGGAAGGGGAGTTCCATATAATTTGATAAAATTGTTTAATTTGTTCTTATGGCTGGATAATTTGGGATCCGTGCCAGTATGTCATAATGCAAAGCGCCGCTTACCTCTTTGTGCATAACATGCAACACTTAGATTTTTAGCGAATGAAATTTTTAATCACCAAACTTCCGGTAGCGCTTCGAAACATATACAGGCGCTTCACACGAAAAAGACCAGCCCATTCGAAAAGAAAACAAACAAGTTACAAGAAAACCAGAATCGAAATTACGGAAAGCAAAATATCAACCTAAAATTGATAACGAAAAATCGAAACTACCAACAGCGTTCGTTAAGTTCAGTAGCAGTCAGCAACATCAAATAAATGCGAAAAAGCAAACTGGCGAGGATGAAGTGAAAAGCAAAAAATTTTGACCCAATAAAATTTCCCTCCTCAAAAATTCCCTTCCTCCTCTGACTTTGGCATTCTTACATGATCCAGTAGCCGCATAAAAGGGAACAAACAATACAAAAAAAGCACAGCGTATCGGTATTGTCTGTTCCCTCCGTGGTTGATACGCTTTATCCAAATTCATTATGCTGAAATATATGACGACTCGCAGGCGTCAGCCATTGTCGTTCTACAATAGTTTAGACTGCTCAGTCTAAACTATTGTAGAACGGCAGTGCATCAGCTTTATACGAGTATTTTTCGACAGAAGTAGACTAACAAAAGAATATGTACAGTATGTACACAATGTGAATACAGGTGTCTAGACCACAAGGCCTCTAGTGAAGGCGTCACTTCTCTGTTTCGACTTATCTGTCGGTCACCTTTCAATTTGCTATGATGGTTGCTGCGGACTGTGCCGGGTGCGGATATTGTAGAGAAATCGTACCTTTTCAATTGAAATTTGTATCTATGTGGTCAGCTATCCTGTGTACAAATTACGAAACATGATCTTATGAGCTCGTATGCACGATGCTTAATCATACTGCTGACTCGGAAAATTAGGCCCTCGTTTTGTTGTACACGCAAAGAACCGCATAACTTCGTCCAGCCACAGTTATGGCATTTGTGAACTTCTATTCTGGTTTTCCATATCTCGGCAATAACATACAAGTATTGTAGTGTAATACGAGTACATTCAGTTTTCAGTCTATTGGAAATGATCATTTAGTAACAGATCATTCGTTTTATTTTCTCGGACGATGAAAACTTCCAGTCCTTTTGATTCGACAGTTTTTGTGTGGCGATTTGCAGTTTTGCTGCATGCGATTCCGATTGCCGCGATTCTCTTGAAGAATAATGGTGAGTACAGTTTCGTATGATAGTGGCAAATTTAAGAGCGCCCCCCGGCATTTTTCCAAAATTAGGTACTTCAAAAAAATACGCGAGAGTGTTGCATAAAAATAGTGACTACTTTTGCGTAAAACCGAATAAATCATTATTTTTGTTAAATTTTTAACGATTTTTGCAGTAAAACCGACTGTTAGGTCACCTTCCGCGTGAAAGTAGCTCTTTAGTGTGCTTTTATACATTTATTTTTCAATCACTGCGCGAAAGAGGCATTCAGAATTCATAATCTATAATACACAAATGTTTTAATGTGTACGTACTCTGTACATTAACTCGTTTATTGATAAACCATGCTACAAGCCGTGTACAAGGTGGGCCTTACAAGAAAGTCTTAATATTTTACAGTTTTTTATGGGATTTTTAGTAAGTCCCGAAGTAAACACGTGCGTCAGCTTCGCGTTTCGCGCGGAAGCTAACTTTTTCCGCGGACTGTGCCGTGATTTATTCGGTTTTAGAATTTATCTGTATACGAGATTAATTACTTCATGCCCGTTCGCTTTCGATGTAGGAATTTTGAATTAATCCTGCTATCTTAATAGAATTTCTAGCAATTTTCGCATCATGATCTCATGTTGGCCTCGCCCGAAAACAGGCGATTGTTGTAATTTTTTGCCACTTTGCTTTGCCCGCAAACTAAGGCTGCTTAATTGCTTTTAAAAAACATTAGTGCAATTTCCGCAGTAGATTAGTTCGCTGTCTTTTGGGTTCCCGACCGGGTTCTCAATGCCCCTCCCGCTTAAGCGAGTGCAATTCGCTTATGCGTATGATGGATTGCTGACAACACTAATTTGGTTACTGCAACAAAAATTTATAGATGATGGATTCCTCAACGTTAGCCGAGCAACCCAGAGCAAGCAAAGTTCAACGCCGCATACTGCGGGCTACACTTTTAGGTTCGCTAATTACTTTCAAGACGGCATGGTCTTGGAGGCCACTAATCCTGGTTCCGTGCTGTGGGGTTATGGAAAACCAGGAGCGCAAGTCGACATTGGTGTTTTTGGCGGCATGGTCTTGACTCGTGTGAATAGTAGGTTCACCTTAATGCAGAATTAAGGACTGTATTCCATACTACCGCACACTATTTTTGAAAATGTTAGAGGATTTGTATAGTGCTTTAGCAATTAAAGCGGACAACTGCCGTGACATTGGATGTTTGATTATTAGGTGAAGGGATTTGGAAAGTAGCTCTATGGGTAGAAACACCGGGTGGACCGTTGGATATTGACGTTTATCATGATGTGACGCAGAACTATACCGAGCATGCTGTTCTACGCGGCGTTTATTTTGGAGAAGTGTTTTTATGCGGCGGTGAGACCAACATGGCGTTTCCAGTTGAGAAAGTAAGCTCAGTCACTCGTAATTCGTCATTTGAATTTGTTTTAACGTTGTTCTACAGGCAGAGACGTGAGCCACTATCTTAAAAGACTTGAGTGTGTCTCGAGAAGGGAGACACTCCATTTCCAGTGTCGCCAGTGAGTTTTTCCTACTGGTTTTCTTGTTTCGATGAGTTCACAAGATTTGTGAGCGCGCGACAGGGAGCAGAAGGTGGCAAAAGTCGATAGTAAAATAAATATATTGGCAGAACTTTTACTACCCAAGCCTAGCGGAACGGGCACAGCGTCTCACTTCTCAGCCTGTACATACGAGTGCTCGAGTAGGGATTCAAAAAGCGAATAAATCAAAGAAACATGGATGATTTAGATGTTCAACGGCTCGGAAGAACTGGCTGCATCCTCAAAATTTCCTCTCATCCGCTTAATGAGCATTTTGCCATCGTCCTCTTCTATCGTTTTGCCGAAATTCCAAATCGTTCAGAACTGGACACTGCCGAGCCCGGATTCGCTACGAAACTTTTCTGCACTCTGTTGGGCGACTGGCCGGCGAGTGTATGAAGATATACGCAACAGATTCGGTACTTCCATTCAGTTCTTCAACCGATCTGACCATACATAGTGCTTATCGCGCTTTTTCTGATAACTAAACAGGCCTCACTATGCCCATTGGGCTGATCGGTGCTTATCGAGACAAAAATTCACCGATACGCGGTTGGATTCCTTCAGAAAGTATCGCACAATGTGAAGACACCGTTCCTTTGTCAGATTCAACTGGCCACCGCCAAACGGATGACAATCAGACTGACTCCACTATCTGGAATGCCATGATTGCACCGTTGAAGCGATTGCGTTTAACCAGTGTCATCTGGTATCAAGGAGAGTCAGATGCCGCCCTGCAACCCGACTTGTACGGATGTTTATTGCAGGCCATGGTGAATGGCTGGAGAAACAATTTCTATCGCGGTGTCTCTCTCCCGTTTGGCATTGTTCAGCTCGGTACAAGAAACTTCGACGATGTGCAGGGAGCCACGCCCCTGCTGCGCTGGGAACAGACGGCAGAATACGGTCAAGTGCCGAACGAAGCGCTGGTGCGCGTCTTCATGGCATCGGCGATTGATTTGCCTGATCCAGAGTCACCGTTTGGATCGTAAGACAATTACGCGAGCTTGAAGATGTTGTTTATGACGCGTGTGATTGATTGCACATATGCACCTCTTGTGGGGTTACAATAAGCTATGTTTTTGCAGCCATGTTCCGCGCTACAAAGAAGAGATTGCTAAACGCTTGCTGGCGGGCGTTTTATCAGTGCTATACTATCGACATATTCCTTTCCAAGGCCCTTTCCCTCAGCGGACATACTTGGTGAAGGACGATGTTTTCATCGAATACGACCAGGATTTTAATTTTATGAATGTTGTTGAAAACTTTGAGGTATGTTCTCGATAGGACAAAGCAGTCTCCAAGAGAAATCAAGTACGTGTTCGTTTCGAAGAAATGAATGATTCGCATGTATCATCAATCAATCAATCAATCAATCAATCAATCAATCAATCAATCAATCAATCAATCAATCAATCAATCAATCAATCAATCAATCAATCAATCAATCAATCAATCTATAAGATCCATAATTTCCGACAACTAACCTAGGTTGCAGAAAGTTCTGAAAAACGAACGCTAATATGTTGCCCAAAACGGACTAAGACTCACAGGAAGCCTACTTACGAGCTGAAGCACGTGCTGAAATTATTATCAAATGGCAGACATCATTTGTAGCAAAATGGGAAACAAATCTTCTGTATCAAAAAAATTACCTAAAAAACAGGGTTGAAAGAAAGTGCCTATAGTCCGCAGAACTACCGATATGAGCAATAAATAGTTGTAATGACTGTCCATAGTCATTTTTTCTATAGAAAACGTTCCGCAAAAGCCCACTTCGAAATAAAGACCCTAAACATCGCCCTTGTAAAATGATAAATGGTGGAGGTCAATTACATTTGGGTAAGCGTTGCGCGTCGGGTAACGGGAAAACGCGTAAAAAATGTGACGTAACAGCGTGTAACCAAGCAAACATTCTGATTCGCAGTCACAAAATCTGGGATGGGTTTTCAGCTTACTTGTCCGCGTAAGCGTTGCGCTTCGACGTCGAAGCGCAACCATTACCCAAACTACGAGTAACTCGTAACTCTCCTGCACAGATTAACAAAATTTGTCTGTGTTTGGACCAAAAGTAAATCTAACGACCCAGAGTCACAATCCAAAACTCATAATTAACTTTTGCACAAACTAGGTCACTGGTTAGCGGTCGAAACGCAAAGCGTTGAATTAATAACCCCAGATCACATCGTGCGCAACAAGCAGAAAATCCCGCTCCAAACTCCCACGTCCCATTCGCCAGTCCACAGAGCTCGGAAGATTCACCAGCCAGGAGGTTCGCGAAGATGACCACAGACAGTTGAATGAAATGAGCGACGAAATGACGAAAATGCCAGGGTCCTCCAGGGTTCCCGAGTCCAGATCCACGGTTCGCACCCTCACCAAACACGAGGGAAGCCCACACGGAACGCCAAAGCACTGAACTAGCTAGGTCACTGGTTAATGGTCGAAACGCAGAGCGTTGAATTACTAACCCCAGATCACATCGAGCACAGCGCCCAGAAATCCCCCGCAGTCCGCCCCCATGGCCTGCTAAATTCTCCCCGTGGCCCGAACTCCAGGCCCCGCATGGCTCCATAAAACAGGCAGGAAAACAGTACGACATCAGATCAACAGTCATGAGTAAGAGCAGTAAAGAGTATCAAGGAATGAGATATGTGCTGGAAGACAGTAAGTGAGGTGATCCAGTACGATGGGCTCGTGGCGAACGATTCCGCGATATGGTTTGTCCCTGCCAATCTGGTATGAACCAGAAATGGCAGGGCTTGTAATTTGTTCGAAAAAGCTTACCAAAAATAAAGTGAATCGTAAGGAAAAACAAGAACTCTAGACAAGCCTGTCTAGAGGAAAATGTAGAAAATGTAGGTCTTAATCAGGATCTTAATTATTAGTTTGCTACACTGCTAAAACTTCTGCTTATCTTGTTTGTCATGCTGCTTATCTTGTTTGTCATGTTTTTAGGATTGGTAGATTTGCTGTCTGCGAATTTTTTGTTGAAAACCTGTATTCCATGTGGTTAATTCATAATAATAAGATTAACTTTTTTGACGTGATACCACATTTACCACATCACAGCATTAAAAATGAGTTTTTCAGTTCCACGACGGTGTTCAATTTCTTTCTTGGCACGGAAGCGTACTCGACTCACGATTGGACGATTGTTTTTCTGCTGAGTCATGGCTAATTTTTTACGCGGCTCTCGATTACCCGACGCGCAACAGTTACCCAAATGTAATTGACCTCCACCAATAACTGGCAAAATATACCAGAAAACCGTGCGCCATCCAGAGAACTAACTGGTGATGTTTTCAGTTACTGTATACAGTATAATACGTTGAACCCCGTGTAAATAAAAACACACAGTTTATTATTAAATTATAAACTGTTTTTCTTGCACACAGGTATGTTGTACTTCTCTGGTCATGCCCACTGACCAGTGGAAGGACTGCACAAGGTGGTACAGCAGCAGCGCAGAACTACACCTGCCAGTGAGAAATACTATCGTCATCCCTTCACCGTGCGGTCCCAGAAAAGCCGGTTTTGTTCGTTATGCATGGGCACCGACTCCTTGCCCATTTAAAAGCTGTCAGATCTACGCCACAGATTACACGGGCGACGCAACGGGACTGCCAGGGCAACCATTTGTTTTGCCAACTAACTGGACATGCCCCAGCTGAACGCTTTGAGCACTAACAAGAAGTAGCAGCTGTATCCGTATTCCATCCTGTCGGCTGCAAAATGACCTTTTCGTTTTATTAGCATGCTTATTCTTTTTGGATTACTGTAACGTCATTAGCTTTTTGAAAGAACAGAAGCAGTCGCTCCATTTATCTTTTTGCATTTAAGTTGCAACTGTGCATGGCAACATTTGGCCTTAAAAAAACAAAGTAATTCCTAAATACACATTCTGGTTTTCATCCAATAAATTTCTCTGATTGTATTCTTCCTATAATAAAAATCCGCTCACTCACCATTATGCGTCAAACAGTACATAAAACAAGGAAGCCGTTAGTTATGAACAAAACTTTTAACAATTCGATCTCGACCCTTCTCCTACTTTAGAGTCTAGACCATGTACTCGTACATGAATAGCAGACATCTGTTATACTTGTGCAAAAACTTCCGGCAAATGTTTACCGGAAGCAATAAGTTTTGGTTTCCTATTCAGTTTTTTACATATCATCCTGATCGCGACTGGAAAGAAAACCCATAGGACACCATAAATCATTCGATTTATTTTCACTTTAGAATTAGTTCCCCAGAATTAGCTCCCGCCGATGCTGCAAGTGTACACTGGTGTGAACAGCGATGAAAAGACAGTTGAGTAGGCGTTTTTCCTAAGCAGGTCGCACCATCTACATGTATAACCGAATGGCATTTAAAATTGGTGCCAGTGCATTTTTCAATTTCAGCTGCTTTCAAGCGCCAAGGCCATATCATCCCAAGTTGCGGTACTAGACGTTAGTTGTTCGTCAGCACATTCACAGCATATAAAACATCTAAGTTTATCGAAGGTCAATTTAAGCCCGATTCTGTAATTCCGACTGAAAGAAAACAACAAAATTGGATTGAAAAGTGAGCTGAGAAACGTCAAAAAGTAAACAGTCGTACCAAACCCCTCGAGGTCAAGTTTCACATTTATCCCCATGATGCAACGAAGGATGCAATGGAGTACAGCCGGGATGATTACCGTAAGCGTTATAGCAAAATACATACATTCGGCTTGCTCTGTACTCTTTACTCCGAAGAAAATTGCCAATGCTGCCTAGTTTGGTGCAGAAAAGGTGTGTTGGGAAAATTCTAATTCTCGTAGTATAAATGCTCTGGATGTCAGCAAACGCTGAGCTCGGTGATACATACGCAGCAACAGCCTGATATATAGCCCAGTTACGATAAAAAGTGGAATGACGTACAGTATCGCTGTCAACACATGATAAAGAGCTGGTACAGATGTTTGTAAGCTGAAGCTCATGGGAACTGCTTGGCAAACACTTCCTGGTGGGAATATTCCTAAAAAAGAATGTTTTTATCAATGAAATTAATGAGTAACCTAAGCAAGCATATAGAATATAACACGCAGCCAGATAAGACAAAGTATTTCTTCCTACCAGTGTATAAAGTTAAGAGTTGCATCGTTGCAGATATCAGGAAAATCACTAAACTCGTGACAATTTTATTATCAATCCACTTCTCGTGGAAGGCTGGATGCAAGGTCTTTAAATATCGGATACCGGAAATTGCAAGTATGTGGGCTAGATCTGATCTAGCCACTACGTCTTTTAACGAGGAATTCACGCATGGAGAAATTATATCATAAAATCCAGACGGGAGAACAAAATTTTGTGACAAATACGCCACAAAAAAGGAGGACATAGCAGTTTGTAAAATGTCCCAGACACTATTTGAAACAATAAAGCGCCTATCTGAGTACGTAATGCCCGATGAGGCAGTATTGCAATGAGCCAGAAACAATTGGCCACAACAATCAACACCGACAAAATCATCCCAAATACATCCACCACGGAAATGCCGCTACCAAAATGTACAAAAAAAAACTGGATAGCTCCGATTGTCGGATCCATATGGCGATTCTCCTGTGTGGTTTTTCATTTCTGGGAAAAACAACGGTATTCTTTTGATATGGTAAACGTATCTCAGGTTTTGGAGAAATGATACAACCAAGGTGTAACAAAATTAAAATCTCTAAAGTATTTCCTTAAAGAAGATCTTTTAGCATTTCCGCACCGGCACTAGGCTACAGGAAAATAGATAATATATAAACAATGGTCGGCACTCTGTATGCATCTAGAGTTCTACAATATACGACGCACTGATAAGTACAGCATTTACGCTGATTAAAGTTCATCATAAAACCAATTCGGTGCTTTCCTATGAAGACATTTGAGCGCTTTGACGTAGCTTAAACCAGGTTTCAGATGAAGTGTTTGTTATTTACTTAACAGTAGAAGTAGGCATGTACAAGCTTGTCCGGTAGTTTCCTACGTAAAGATACAGCTAGCGCGAAGTTTGCGCTTATAACGATGGCCACTTCACTACGTTCATCACACTGCCTAATTATGCGCTCCGCAGTCAGATTGTCATTTACTGCACCGACCATTTTCTAGTCACTTTCCGAGGCAGTTACTATTATTCCCCTAAATTATATGGCGCGCAACAAGCTACCAGCCACCCAAATGCATGTTACGTGTTTAAACAGTGTGGCGTGGCGCGCCGTAGTGTGAAGTTTGGCGTAACACGCAAATTTGTGTAATTCGCTGTACAGATTCGTC